AGAACTGGCAGGTGACCAAAGAAAAAAAAATGTGCATCTACCATCTAGAGTGCAATGTAGGCTTTTTTTATTATAATTAAGTAGCATAGATATTCATGATTAGATCAAGGTCAGAATAGTAGAACATTAAAGCCAAGGACTTAAAGGTCCAAAGAATAGGAAAATTGCTTTCTAAAAGTTTTTTTTTTTTTAAATAGTAATAACTACAATCTTTAAGTTTTGCAATAAAACACTTAAAATAGTTCATCTGTTTTATTTTAAAATGTGCACGCCTGGTGTGTTTGCCCTGCACATTTAAACCAGAACTTGAAGTCTCAGTTGAATTTTTCATTTCAGTATTTTCGTCAACTTCCCATTTCTGCTCCTGGTACAGAAAATCAATTTGAGAACTACAATGATAATGGAGGTTTTTAAAGGCTGAGCCTACATGACATCCAAAATTATTTGCATAGAAGGCATGAGTTTTCTATTAAGTCTAATGGATTAATCCAAGGAAGTGGTATGATGTTCACATGTAAATGTTTTCAACAGGGTATCCATCCTAACATTTAGTGGTAACTACAGTTTCGTGGGACAAGGGCCACTCCCTTTGGGTAGACAGATTACTGTATAGTTCCTTTTCTTGGACTCTCTTGCTGATTTACTGGGTCTCTCTCAGTCTAGTTGATCGACTTAGGTTTATTACTTCACTCCTTTCCTTCCCTCTTACAACTCATCTAGCACATTGTCTACCTCTTCTCAGTCTCCTTAACCAACCTTTCTCCTGTGACAATTTCCTACCCGATGTGCAGCCCTAGGATTCATTCCAGGGACCCTGAATCTTCTCTTCCTGCCTCTTTCCTCAACTAATCTCTAGACTCATGACTTTTAATGCATCTAATACACCAAACACTCAATGTCATATTGACCTCTCTCCTGACCTTGAAAAGCATATATTCTACTTCTTATTTGACATGTTGACTTGGCTATCTAATAATTCCTCAAACTTAATTTGACCAAAACACAACTCCTGATTCAGCTAACTACAGACTGGCTTCTTTTTTTCTCCCTCTCAATAAAGTCACCAACATCCAGTTGTTTAAGGGGGAAAAAAGCAGACATCTTCAAATTTTCTCACTTCTTCACCCCTTTCCCACATCAGAAAATTTTACTGATTGTTCAAAAACCATCCCATTCTCTTCATTTCTCTTCATGGCTACTACTGTACTAGTCTGGGTCACCACTATCTCCTGCCTGTTCCCCAGGTCCCTAAAATTCATTATCCATGCATCTACCAGGGTTCCAGAGTAACTATTTTAAAATACACATCATAAGATCTCTCTAGTCTATTTAAAACTTCTTAATGGTTTTCTATAAAATTGTAGATAAACGTCAAGTTCCTTACTTTGACCTATATAATCTGACCCCCCTGACAACCTCCTAGACCTCATCTCCCCACAATCCTCCCTCTAACTGAACTACTGCCTTATTGGCGTTTATGATTTCTGAACCCCTCCTGGCTAGTTTCTACTTCATGATAAGTCTGGCATATGTTTCCTACGTCTCTTTGCCTATTTCTAGTCATTTAACCCTCAGTTCATATGTCAACTCTCTAGGAGGTCTCCTCTACCCCACAATAGGTCTCTATCATATCAGCCCACTGTGTTTTCATCATAGAACTTGCCTAATATTTTCCTGCTTTTAGGGTCTCCCCCAGCACAAAGAAGAATCAGGAGTTTGTAGGTACTATTCACTGCTATATTTTCGGGGCCTAAAACAGTTTCCTGACTCCTGGTAGATTCTCAGTAAATACGTGGAATAAATCAATGATCGTGATGACATTTCTTTGGCATCAATTATATGCCCTTGCTGTGTTAGCTAGAGTTTTAGACCTCATTCATATGTTATCATTTCTTGTTTCTTGGCCATTTTGTTTTTGTTGCTTCATATCACTATATCTGATATAATTTTATTTGTTTAAATAAGTTCATTTTTCAAAGTACATATTCAACTGAAGCCAGTGCTACACAAAGCCTGGTTCATGGAGCAGGGCTGGTGTCTGAACTGTTTGTTGCCAGCATACAACAAAATAAATACAGACATTAAGAGAAAACATACAGAGATATTTATGGACAGTGACATCTTATGTCTGTTGAATCTAATAATAAAAATATCAGGGCTTATATTTTGTATGTCTTTATTTTGTGTTTAGATATTTCATTTTTATTGGATTTCACAAATGAATTGACCATGATAGTTGAGAAATTTTTTTTAAAACTCACTTTTAACATAGGTTGAGAAGCACTAATCTGAACTACCACTACCTCTCTTTAGAAATAAAATGATGGCCGGGCGTGGTGGCTCAAGCCTGTAATCCCAGCACTTTGGGAGGCTAAGATGGGTGGATCACGAGGTCAGGAGATCAAGACCCTCCTGGCTAACACGGTGAAACCCCGTCTCTACTAAAAATACAAAATATTAGCCGGGCGTAGTGGCGGGCGCCTGTAGTCCCAGCTACTCGGGAGGCTGAGGCAGGAGAATGGCGGGAACCCGGGAGGCGGAGCTTGCAGTGAGCCGAGATCGTGCCACCGCACTCCAGCCTGGGCGACAGAGTGAAACTCCGTCTCAAAAACAAAAACAAAAAACAAAAAACAAACAAACAAAAAAAGAAATAAAATGATGGCAATATTTAATTGTTTAATAAGATTGCAGGTATCAACTTGTCATGTATTAGAAGCAGATCCAAGTTTATCTTGCAACAAATAGTGATTGTTTATACAAAAAAAGGGTTAGTGAGTTTAAAATATATTATATTTAATACAAATTCCTGAATTTTAAAAATTGGGGGGAAACTGGGGAAAATATCTTTGGAAATAATCTTTCATCCTACAAATACTTATCATTTAATAATAAAACCTACCTGAAAGCATAAAGTAATTTGGATCAGTGTTCATAATAACCCTACTATCTACACAGCACCGTTTTGCAAGAGTTTAGCAGAGAACAGGTTGAGTAACAGAGACAAGATTGTAAGGAAATGTCAAGAAGTTAAGCCCCCAGCCCAGGCCTGTTCAAATTCAGTTTCCAGACTGTTCATCAACACATTCTCAGTTCTCATCTTACTTAAACCTTAAGTAAACTAATTGAAATAGCTAGGAAAGTCTCATAATAGAGCAGTTCATTCTCTTAATAATAAAGAGCGGTCCCTATTACTTCTTTCCTAAGAGAAACAAATCTTGGCGTCTCACAGGGGCTTCTATTTTCTTGGCCTTACAAGTACGTGGGCCTTCATCTACTTCAGGCAACAGTGACTAAGAAGAGGCAAAAGTGACTATAGATATAAGCCTATCTCCTGTTAGCAAGTATCCCAACATACTCCCAGATGACCTAAGCACACTTCACAAAGGCCACCAAAGAGCCACAGCTATAATCATTCTTGGTCACTACCAATTTGGGCTGGATTTGATTCAGTGACTTAGAGGTGAAAGGCTCCATATTCAATTACCAGGCCCCCAGCTACCTCAATTAATCAAAGGCTGACATAATGGGTCTATTACAACTCTTGAAGAAAAGACCAGATCAAATCAATATAACCACTTTATAGCTATAAAAATATATTAATACATATTCTTTATTTAAATATAAAAACCAAGACTCTATGGCATATAAATGAATTTCATTAGAATGCACTTTATCTAGAATTTTATTATAGGAAACTTGAACATAATCAAAATGACTTTCAAACTATACTTTGAGTTTCTATAGCAGCCTTCTTTTGAGAAACACAAACATTTTCACATGTATTATGCTATTTACCTGGCAACAGTAGTTTGGTGTCTACATAATTTCTGGGGGGATTTATCTGGTCAAAGGGAGTGCTATGAAAAATTGTAACCATCATGATGGCACAGCTGAACTGCTACTTAAACGGGGGTCTCTCATCTGTCATTGTATCAGGAAATCCTAATGGAGTCAAAGAAAAGGTAGGAACTGAAAGATCATAAAGAAGCAACAGCAGGGCGCCATGGCTCACGCCTGTAATCCCAGCACTTTGGGAGGCCTAGGTGGGTGGATCACGAGGTCAGGAGATCGAGACCCTCCTGGCTAACACAGTGAAACCCCGTCTCTACCATAAATACAAAAAATTAGCCGGGTGAGGTGGCCGGCACCTGTAGTCCCAGCTACTCCGGAGGTTGACGCAGGAGAATGGCGTGAACCCGGGTGGCGGAGCTTGCAGTGAGTCGAGATCGTGCCACTGCACTCCAGCCTGGGCGACAGAGCGAGACTCCATCTCAAAGAAAAATAAAAGAAGCAACAAGGAGGTTGCAAATCACTAGCAGTTAAGTGCTGCCATCTGAAGCAATGAAGTGCTTCTGATCATAGAGCAACAGCCATGTAAACCTAGAAGAAACTACTGGAAAAGTCAAAAGCTAACTAATCTAATCTGAACTCTTAATGACACTATGAACATGCATAAAATCATTTAGAGAGTTCAAAGTTTAACCTTATTTCTGAAATCTAAGGCTAAAGTTAAAGCAGAGATTACATTTTCCTTCATCTCCATGTCACAATAAGAAGCCACCCTCTACCTGCTAAGTAAAATGAGGATTATTTATATAATAATTTATATGAAAAGATAGTACTAGTTCTCTGTGTTAAGGATGTTAAAGAAAGTTCAGTTTATTGTATTCATTAATGCATTAAAGTTAGAGACTTCTGAGAGATTCTGAAGTCCTTAACTTTGGCATATTATTTTGTCACCTTTCTTTCCCTTTTAATATGTTTTCATTGATCTTACCTTTTTCACTTTTTACATCAACTGCTAGGTGCCACCCTGGACTGGTCATCAGGATGCCAGAATCACTGTCGGAAGCGTGGTCCTTTGAATCCAACCCCTTGGGTGCTAAAAACTTTCTCACTTCACTGCCCTGCATCCTTGAATCGTTATCTTTCTGATCAGCATCTTGAAAAACTGGAGACCAATTCCTATACTAATACATAATATCTCCAATTACTTGCAGGTTGTTCTCTCCTGACAAGCGTTGGGGTGTTGGTTTGTGCGCTGAAAACATGCCACCTGCAATACTGCCCTCTTGGCAGAGACGCGACAAGCCAGTTAGACCATGGCAAAGAAAAAAATGGTGGCTGCTGCAGTGAGCTCCATGTAGAAGACACAACATTTTTCCTCACCCTTCTCCCTCTCTTCATGTTTCAGCTCCTCTACAGAATGTGCATTATGCAGGTAAGAACAGGCAATGAGTACTGCCCCAACAACAAGAAAGTGATTGCATGTCAACAGTACAAGGCAAGGTGAATTTTCTCCCCAACGAGTGCTTTCCATATACGTTGGCAGGCAGTTATCCCACAGAAGCTTCTCATCATTACAGGCACTGATTTCCAGAGCTAAGCAGGGTCAGGCAGAGGCATACCTGAGGAGACCCGGGATGTGTTTCTTTTGTGGAGCTATAAATGTCTGTCAGTAGGTGCAGACAGTACTTCAGAGTGCATAGTTGTAAGGCATAAGAGCAGTGCACGAACATATCAGATCTGTAAGCAATTACCAAACTTCCCTTTAGCCAAAGGTTTTGCCTTCCTCCCTCATTAAACCTTTAGAAAGTGGTACTAACAAGTAGCTAAATTGACTGATTTGAGTATCACCTCCACTGTACTCTTAAATATAAGTACTAATGAGCAAGTGATTCTCTCCCCACCCACTCTATTAGTTCCTTGGGGAATCTGTTCCTGTGCTGTGAGAAAATCAAGGGAAAACACTAAGCCCAAAGTATCTTTTATAGATATATGTGATTGAAAAAATTTTTACATGTGGTTATAGTTATAGTTAAAGACTAACTTATTTACTGCGAAAAATAAATGATTACAAATGTCTTTGAATAAATCTGGGACTTTGTTCATTGCTAACCCCCAACTTGGACTTTAGAAGGCTCATGAATGAGTTACATTTAGAAATCACAGAATAATAGAGCTGCAACAAAAGTTAGAGATTAACTTCATCAACTACTTTTTTTGTTAAAGAGTAACCTTCGGCTCAGAAAAATTAAGTGACTTTCTTTTGGTAGAGGCGAGGCGCCGCAGGTCACAGTTAACAGTAGTGCAAGGGAAAGTGCAATCTGTCCTCTGTCTCTCAGTACAGTGCCTGCCCCTCTAAGCCAGCGGTTAGCAATCCACTATCTGCAGGCCAAATCCAGTCCACGACTTATTTTTGTACATCCTGTAAGCTAAGAAGATTTTTACATTTTTGTATGTTTGAAAAAAAATTAAAAAGAATAGTATTTTCTGGCACATGAAAATTGTATAAAATTTAGCCCGGCGTGGTGGCTCACGCCTATAATCTCAGCACTTTGGGAGGCCGAGGCAGGCAGATTACCTGAGGTCAGGATTTTGAAACCAGGCTTACCAAAATGGAGAAAACCTGTCTCTACTAAAACACAAAATTAGCGAGCTTGGTGGTGCGTGCCTGTAATCCCAGCTGCTTGGGTGGCTGAGGCAGGAGAATCGCTTGAACCCGGGAGGCGGAGGTTGTGATGAGCAGAGATCATGCCATTTTACTCCAGCCTGGGCAACAAGAGCGAAACTCCATCTCAAAAAAAAAAAAAGAAAAAAAGAAAGAAAACAAAGAAAATTGTATAACATTTAAATTTTAGTGTCCATAAATGAAGTTTTATCAGAACATAGCCATGCTCTTTGGTTTGTAATATCTATGTCTTCTTATGCACAAAAACAGCAGAGTTGAGTAACTGCCACGGAACCCATATGTGGACATATTTACTATCTGGCCCTTTACAGAAAGTCTCTTGACCTCTAGACTAAATAATGCATGAAAACTAGTCTGATTTAGGAGATTCAAACTCCCTCTTGACTTTACAATAGCAGTAGGCACAAAAACAGAATACAGCAGAAATATTACCCATATATGTAAACATTAATATAATTAAACCTCTTAGAATGGAAGAACTGATAAACAGTAGAAAATTACTCCATGGTCCATAGCTAACCTGAAACCCTTATGTGCAAGTAGCACAGAATACCAGTTGCTTAACTTCATAATGCAATGACACCTGATATTTCTTTCCACCAACTTTGAGCCTTCTTTGCACACTGTCATATATTTTTTAACATAAATTACAATAAATTTTGATAAACTAATTTTTAAGCATATCGCCAACTCTACATGCCCAATTTATTGCAAAGCATAGAAATTAATACTTATTGATCACCTATTATGTGTCATAGCTTCTAAAAGATAGCTTCACAGTATGTAATTTAATTCCCATAGCAAGGCTACATGGCTATCACTTTCCTAAATCTGAGGTTCAGAAACAAACTTGCAACTTGTTCCCAGTCACCTTGCTAGTGTGTGGCACAGCAACATTCCAACTCAGGATTAGTGTCAAGGGCCATGCTTTATTACCCTCAATATCATTCTTGCACTTGGTTAAAAATCCCTGATACTACATAGATTCCAAAATTATATGCAGTAATGTTATGCTAGAAACTTCGAAGAAAATGCTTAGATCATACTTCGCCAGGGAGGCAGAGGAATTTCCAATAGGATAGGCTGGGATTAGATTTTTGCCCCCAAATGGAATAATCACCAGTACAAAGGCAATCAAAGTACCAAGAATAAAACATCATAGAATTTCATACATATTCTAAATTTAGTAGCCATTATTGACCTTCAGTTGCAAGACATACATCTAAAATATGTTGATATTACGGCTGATGAGGTTGCCATTTGACATTACTGGCCACTCAAAGGTGAGAATGAATCTCTATTGACAGCAATTATTTCTGAATACTCACAGGCTTGGATGAAATAAAAGTATTTAAAATGTTACAGGGGGATGATTTCAGAACTTGAGGCAGAGGCAGAAATGATTTCAAGCTTTCAAGACACTGGAGCCTTTTCTAAGATTAGGCAATATATTAATATTGCTTCACTAAAGATTAATAGTACATTTGCCACATTATTACGTTAACAGATTTCCATGTCTGTGATTCATGCCGATAATAACTTTATTCCTATTAACAATAATTCTCATTTGAAATCAGTAACAGAAACTTCCAAGTTGTGCTGGGAGCCTTTCAGTCTTAGAGTTGTTCTGCTGCCAGCACTTTTTGTTAAAACACATCATTCATTTTCCTCCGATGGGGGATCCATGCCTAATAATTTTATTGAAGTAGGGCAGAACGAACTAATGTTCCTTTAACTCTTGCCATCTGTACCCAGCCAAAACAATCCTTGTTTACTATGCTAAGGGTCAAATTAAAGATCGGAAGATAAATGATCACCAAGACACGTTTTCTATAGAAAGAATCTCAGTGAAAATGTGGTTTTGTCCTGTGTTTGGGCAGTTAACATGGCAATAGGCTCATTTTATGATTGGTGGACTTGGTAACAGCTGTACTGACACCATAACACTGATTCTCCATATATACCCTCTTGAACTGTACATTTGAGTCTAGAGAAGGGGTTAGCAAAGGTTTCAAATGAGAAGTTATCATCTGGATATTTGAGCGAGACTGCTCTCCCAGGATGGTGGTGAAGCAGGGATCCTAATGCAGCTCTTGTACTGTAAGAGTTTGGAGGATCCATTCCTCAAGAAGACTTGGTTGACTTTCTCTCCTGCACTCAATAGCTTTGTGTACCATTGGGAATTAAAGAAATACTATACGCGGGAGGCTGAGGCCGGAGAATTGGCGGTGAACCCGGGAGGCGGAGCTTGCAGTGAGCTGAGATCCGGCCCTGCACTCCAGCCTGGGGCTACAAAGCGAGACTCCGTCTCAAAAAAAAAAAAAAAAAAAAAAAAAAGAAATACTATACGCTACTAAAGATCTTATGGCCATGGTTGTGGTGGCTCAATGCCTGTAATCCCAGCACTTTGAGAGGCCGAGGCAGGGCAGATCACGAGGTCAGGAGATCGGAATCCTGGTTAACACGGTGAAACCCATCTCCACTAAAAATCAAAAACATTAGCCGGCGTGGTGCGCGGGCGCACCGTAGGTCCCCAGTTACTTCAGAGCGAGGAGCGAGAACGGCGTGAACCAGGGAGGGGGAGCTTACAGTGAAAGCCAAGATCGCGCCAACTGCACCTCCAGCCTGGGCGACAGAGCAAGACTCCATCTCAAACAAACAAACAAACAAAAAATCATGATGAAGCTGTAACAAAGCTCATGAACTAGAAAAGTGAAGAGACACCTTTTTCATGTGACATCATCCCTTGGTACTGATATCGCACCTGGTTGCCGAGAGGATTGGAATACACTAAGAGACTTCAAATTAGTGTTAAGAGTTTTAGTTAGGGTTGGGGTTATTTTTAAAATGAAGGAATTCTAACAATACATTGAGGATTTGGGGTGGAGCACAGGGTTTTTTTTGTTTTATTTTGTTTTGTTTTGTTTTAAATCTATATCTTTCACTTTATCATGCAAACCTTTTTCATGTTGTTTCCTTTATAGAATTCTAGTATTATGTAATTAGTTTGAAGGGAGGGCAAAGACACAAGAAGGTTTATTTTTCCTCCCCATGTTACTTAGTTCACATTGGAAACAAAGCCTCTCTAAATAGCCCCCTCAAGGACAGCCTACAGCAATTAACATGTGTCCACATTGGGCCCCTCTTCTTAAGAAAAAAGTTATTTCTATATTGCCACCAAACTAGATGCTTTTTAAAGAATATATTCTAGTCTCATTTTTTTCATCAGGGTAAAAACAGACGTCTTTAGTATTTTTTACTGGTTTTGTATTAGTGTTCATGAAGAAAAGTCACTTTGCTTATCTGCAGAATTTAAGTTATTAGGTTTTTATGTGTCATCTTAAGCACAAAATTGGGGCCATCATTACTTTTCATAGAAAAATTAAGAGAAACTAAATGACGAAAGAGTCTTCCATGAGGAATAAGTACTATTGTCAATAGACGAGACAGAGCTCCTGCCACCACAGATGAAGACCCTTTATCAGCTCATAACTGGACTTGAAAAACTAGGGAACATCCAGTTCAGCCATCTCAGAGTACATGCAAGAGGGAAAGCCTCTGGTGGACGATGCTTTCTTCAATGTTAAACCACTGTCTTAATGCATGGCTGTTTCCCTCTCGAATGCAGATTCCTTCAGGATATTATCTGCAAACCATGAATTCCAACCTGAGTTTAGATGGATTTCTTCTGCCGATTGCAGTAATGAATGCCATCAGCATCCTACCACTACTAATTCTGTCTCCTTTTCTGGAGTATGTCAGCACCTGCCTGTTTCCCTCTAAGAGAATTAGATCATTTCTGTCAACATGCATCAGTAAGTACAACTTAACCATTTCATGTGAATCGTTTGAATCTTTTTAAAACAACATTCTGCTAAGATCCGAACTAGCTATATGCTCCTGAGTAGTGTCAGATTTTGACAAATTGGAAAAAAGGTGAATTTGTGACTGATAACATCCATTTTCCCAAATCTCTAGCCAGACATGTGTCCCATCTTCTTCCCATCCTTTTATGTTTATGTCTTCTCAGAAGACACACCTGATATAAAGAGATGGTGAAATTTCCAGCACTACCAAATGACCAATCCTTAAAGTCAGGCAGTCCTTACCCCTTAAGTCTATGTCAAATATGTTCTTAAAAATAAACACAGTTAATGAATTTCAAAAGACCATTTTAATTTCTGAATCAGTAACAAAATTGATTAAGGATTAGTATTGTAAGTTATAGCTTTGATACAGTACTTTATCAAATAGTAAGTGGTATAGAAATAATGCTTTTTAATCATTTTTTAAAGTGAAACAATTTAGGATACCATTCTCAGAACATAATCAATAGGCCATAAAATGAAATGTATCTGATTGAAATGGCAGAGAAGCATGGAAGTCCATTCTGCTCATACTCTCCCCTGCCTGTCTTCCTTCGACAGCATCAGGGAACAAGAGAACAGTGAAGGTGCAGTAAAACAAGTTTCAATCTAAGAATCAGAGAACTCTGCCATTGAACTGCTCCTGGTGACTTTGAAAAAGCCACCGAAACTTTCTTGTTTTAGTTTGCTTATTTTTTTCATTGAGGGACATACCCTAGATAAATTTTGGATCGTTTTGTTCTGTAAAACTTTTGACATCACTCAGGATGACATCAGTGCCCAGAACGTAGTCCAGACACATAGCAAAAGCTCTATAAATGTTAGCTATTATTATGAGTCATCATGTGCAGGGGACACATTTAATTGTTTAGTGAGCATAAACAGAAAGCAAAGGAAGTTTGAAATTCTTAAGTAATATCCTGCAATGGTAACCTAATGTCTTATCCTCTACTTGAGAAACAATTCTATTGAAATAGTCAAGGTCAGATTCTCTTCTCTCAGTTAACCTCTTCTTGTTCTTAAGCTCTTCTTTTGAAATAATCTGCGGAGACTATGCAGTCTTCTAGTCACAGATAGTTCTTGTTGCTTCTCCGTTTACAGAAGTTACATTTCACTGTGTGTGTTTCCTGTTCTTTTATTTTTATTTTTTATTCTTTTTTTGAGACGGAGTCTTGCTCTGTCGCCCAGACTGGAGTGCAGTGGCCGGATCTCAGCTCACTGCAAGCTCTACCTCCCGGGTTCATGCCATTCTCCTGCCTCAGCCTCCCGAGTAGCTGGGACTACAGGCGCCCGCCACCTCGCCCGGCTAGTTTTTTTGTATTTTTTAGTAGAGACGGGGTTTCACTGTGTTAGCCAGGATGGTCTTGATCTCCTGACCTCGTGATCCGCCCGTCTCGGCCTCCCAAAGTGCTGGGATTACAGGCTTGAGCCACCGCGCCCGGCCGTTTCCTGTTCTTTATCTACCAGATCAATCAACATCACATCATGGAGTGGGTTTATTTTTGGTTAGAACTAAAAGTGACTAAACTCACCTTAGTTTCTTTTATCATCTTCAATTATAGAGGAGGACTTTAGTACATAACCTTTTGTGATGTATTTCTTAAGCCAGTAACCGCATCTTTATTTATTGTAATAAGCTTTAGCAAACTATAAATCTTTAGGTTTTGACAATCCTTAAGTCTTAAAAAGTGCTTTTCTGTCTGCCAATGTAGAAATCCAAAAGTCACCACATATTTGGTGAATGTCCAGGATTAGCATAGGTACAATGAAGATAAAAAAGAAAAAGTAAGACATGGTTTGTATACACTTTCAACAAGTCCATGATTGAAACGTAATGCATGCAGGACAAAATAAGAGTAAAATCATACTGTGAAGTGCCAAAAATCTCGGCAGTTTTGTACAGTATCATGAAACATCCCAATCTGAGCTTCCAAATCATGCTGAATTACTATTTTAAAATTTTGAATACCTTAGAAAAATATTCTATACAGCATGGCTAAAATAAATTCTTCCTGAGAATGAGAAATCTTTGTTTTTTTGTTTTTTTTTTTTTTTTTTTTGAGACGGAGGAGAATGAGAAATCTTAAATTCACTTTAAAGTTAAGCAACTTTCTTTTGGACAGTTCTCTACTCCCGCGTATTTGAAATCATATCTATTCCTAAAGAAGAGTATTTTTTTCTGGATTTAGAAAAGTTACAGAGTTATTTAGTACATTGTTTGATGTTGTTAATGAATTAAATATTCCGCTTCAAGACTGGTAACAAGACCTATTGCACAGGAAAAAGGAAAAACTAGACCCACTTCAAAAGAAACTAAGCTATGTTCCACTGGGTACAGAATTCTGACTCCAGTTGTTTCTGAACCCCACTCCATTCATTCATTCATTTGCATACTTGTATGTTTATTTGCATAATGTTTTGCTATGGGAATATAAAAGTGCAATGATATGCATCTTTTAAACTAGATATTTGCTTAAGTTTTCCATATTCTGGTTATGATTATGAATGATTAACAAGTTTTATCAGGACATAAAAGTACCAATCTGGGGTACTTTTTTGATACTAATTTACATAATTGAATTAGTCTAATATTAAAGTTACCTTTCACTTTGAACTCAAATGCCTGAAAATGTGGGTGAAGTATATAAGTATGTGAATTACGAATGAACATATATTTATAAGTTCCTAATTTGAATTCAGGTACCTTCATATATATATTACACTTAATCTCATGATAAACCACCATTTAATAGATCAGAGTCACAAAGATAGTGTCATTTGAACAGGTTTTCTAATTTTAAGGGCATAACTTTATTATTATTATTATTATTATTACTATTACTATTCTGCTTAGCAGCTAAACGTAGCTGTTAGATTACAGAAGTTAATGTACTGATATTAGCTTGGCATCCTTACTGATATTTCCAATTAGCACTATGAAGTAACCGAAAAACTCCTTTTGTCATCACAATGGGCAGTTACTCCTTATACTCTCACACTCCCTTCCACATTCAGGCATTCTCCTTCCAGGGACTGTCATGTTTAAGGAGGCAGATGGTAAAGTCAATGACAATGCCTAATGTTTGACATGCAAAATCACAGCCCAAACCAAGAGTGAGAGATGGGGAAATCTTACCCAGCTGGTCAAACTAGAAATTTATAAAGAAAAAATAAACTTACTTTTTTATCTAGCTCATAAGCAATGCAATGACAAAGGTGTTTCCGATTCAAGATACAACATTCCTGAGTTCATCACCTATGGAGGTCAAGAAGTATGTTGGGGTCTCCAACTATTTAAAAAAAAAAAAAATCTCTAGGTCTTCCAAGACCGTGAAAGGCAGAGACTTCATAGGCTCACAGTGTTTTATTCATGGCTGCATTTTCTTAATATTACACTTGTGTGGATTTATCTATTTAAGTCAACCTGAATTCACTAAAAATCCAGAACTAATGATATTGTTGTAATTTATCCTGTCATAATTGGGTTTACTTCATTTTATCTTTTTTTTAGTTCAAAAATATTTACACTATGAATATTTCCTTTCCTTAGCATTAATTAAAATCCTGCAATATGGAGCATTCAGTAGTTAGTGCTGACACACACAAGTATTAATCTGACTAAAATTAGCCTAATTAAGATTGTTATTAAGGCTTACACAAAGCAGAAGTGTACAACACAGTAGGCAGCAATTATCTTGGCTTTTAAATAACATTTAAATTGAAATGTAGATGAAATATATTCACATAACTGCAATACCTTTTTCCTTAAAATAAAAACATGAAAATTCAAGTTCCAGCTAAAAGTCTTTTATGATAGACACAGTCAGTGTAGGTCCCAGTAACTTCAACTAGTTCTAATAATTGGCAGTCGTATAAAGTTCTTTTTGTGGTTGAAACCAAAGTGGTTGCTAAGCTAAAAACCAAGTCAGGGATCCAGTTGTTTTCATTGCAAGTTCAATTATCTCAGGGAAAATTATTTTTTGATATAGCTTTCAAACTGATACATTTTCCCAAGAAACATCACGGTATGTACCCATTGTAAAATACTTGATAGGAGGAACTGTGTAAACACCAAAAGAAGTAAACCATGAATTGTAAACATCTAGCCTGAATAAGTCATTCATTCGGTTGCACATTTGTTTGATATAGACACGTTAGTGTTCTCAATTCTTAAATGTAACATCAAGTTGGAATTAAATCAGAGGTGAAGTAGATCATCTAATACATAATCTGAAGCAAACTGATGTCTTATAGCGATACATTTGTGTATTTTATCTCTATGTAAATGATTACCTGTTCTACATTCAGAAATAAAACATAAACGGAAGCTGGGTCTTCTGAAATGAATTCCAATGGTCTACAGAAAAACAAAAGATAGAAGGGTCATATATATATATATGAACATGTCACGTTTTATGTCTATATTATATTTAGAAACATGCCACAAATAGGGGAAAACAATAAAAGTAAAAAACATATGCCACCCTAAAAAGTGAGTGACAAATATCTTCCCCAAAGGCAGCAGATACATAAGACAATAAAATTATAGCTGACTTTATGAGAGTAGTTCATGAACACTGATTGATATATTAACACTGAGCAAATTTCTCATTCTGGGAATTTGCCAAAATCATGGATCCAAGGGGAATTTCTCAAGGACTCAATAGAATTTCATACTTAAGGTTGTGAGCTTACATATCAGAAACTCAAACATCACACTATCCATAGAAACCCATAGTTTTCCCAGTGAATAAATTTATACCTAAAGAATCTTATACCAATACCTAAAGAATCTTAATATGCCCACTTTTTTAGTATGAAGTTCAGCTTCATTATGAAATCACAAGTGCAACCCTAATGTTTGAATAAATTCTGAATGTCTTTTATTTCATTGTAGACTAATTTGGAAAATTATTACATGATTCAATAATAGCATAAATTATAAGAGCTTCAAGACTCTTGTGGACTTGTCTGCAACCGCACAGGCAATATTGAAACACACATTATATATCTGAATATAATATCTCCTATGCAACCATTGTGCTTTATCTTGTAAGTACAGATCTGCTAGAGGTTTAAAATGTGTGCATTCTGATAAACTGCACTCTGCTTTGGGTGTGTTATTATCTCATATGAGTTACGAATTTAAAATGGAGTGGATTAAATTTAGGTTGGAATCAAACTTTGCTTTAAATTTTAAGAAAGTTAGTTTTTATTGGCACCAAATAAAAAGCAAACATAGATCCTTAAATATCCTAAAATATGCTTTGCCCTAAAATACCTAGGTAACTGAGTGCTACGGTTTGAATGTGTTCGTTCCCTCCAAAATTCATGTTGAAATTTATCCCTAGTACAACAGTATTGGGAGGTGTTGGTTTTGGGAGGTGAGTGAGTCATCAGTGCTCCACTCTCATAAATGGGATTAGGTGCTCTTATAAAAGGGTTTGATAGAGTTCATTCCATTTGCTCTTCTACCTTCTGCCATGTGGAAGGTGCCATTTCGGAAGCAGAAAGCAGCACCCCCCAGACAACCAAGCCTACCAGCACCTTGTCCTTGAATTTTCCAGCTTTTAGAACTGTGAGAAAAGAACTTTCTGTTCTTTATAAATTACTCAGTCTCAGACTTCTTTTGAATAACAGCACAAGCAAACTAAGACAATAAACTCAATATGTGTGCTTTGCTTGAAATTTTCTGGAGAACTGTCTTTCATGGGATTTTGCTAGATCAGGCCCGATAGTGTTACATGCTTGAGCAGTGCTTCTCGTAGTTTAATTTGTGTAAGAATCATCTAGAGACCTAGTTTACAATGCAGATTCTAAGTCAGTGGTTCTGGAGCAGAGCCTGAGATTCTGTATGTCTAACAAGCTCCCAGGTGATACCTACACTACTGGTCAAGAAGGACACTTTCAGTATCAAAGACAAAGAAAGTGGCCAAAAGACTGCTGTCTCAAGTTCCGTGCATGTGTGTAGGCAGCAGTGGTCCAGATAAAATGCCACAATTCCTCACTAGGCCAGAATGAAAGTTCGGTAACAGGCAATAAAAGCTGATGACTAAACCAGGGAGGGGTTAGCCAATCACTACAGCTCATGGGCCACATCTGGCCCACCATCTGTTTTTGTATGACCTGCATGGTAAGAATGGTTTACACAGATGAACATTTGCAACTGATTTGATAATAGAAAACACCTTTGAACCCCAGTTAAGTGAAATTGCGTCACCCTTCCAAAAGAAATAATTTTAAATTTTATCAATTTTTAAAATCGTAGAATTTTCTCTCATTACATAAGTACCTACTTATCCTCAATTTTGTTGTTTTTCTCAAAAGTCTGAAATATTTATTACTGGCCTTTTACAGAGAAAAAAAATAGTGACCCTTGTCTACACTTTTGCTGACAATGCCACAAACTTTCCTTCATAAAATATAAGCATTTTTACATAGCACAAGTAACAATCAAAAAAAGTTCATGATAATTTTAAAATCTAAATTACCTCAAATTAGTTAGGATAAGGGGTGTCTTAGAAGATACCTATAGAATTCAAATTCTAAAAGAAAACCAAAGAAAGCAACTTGAATTACTGTTAAGAAGTCTAGTGCTTTTCTTCCTCTTTCTTTTCTTTCCTTTCCTTTTCTTTCTTTCTTTCTTTCTATCTTTCTTTCTCTCTTTCTTTCTTTTTCTTTTCTTTTTTTTTTTTTCTTTTCTTTCTTCTTTCTTTCTTCCCTTCTTTCTCTTTCTTCCTTTCTTTCTCTTTCTTTTTCTTTCTTTCTCTCTCTCTTTCTCGCTTTCTTCCTCTTTCTCTCTTTCTTTTTTCTTTTTTAGACAGAGTCTAGCTCTGTAGCTCAGGCTAAAGTGCAGTAGCGTGATCTTGGCTCACTGCAACCTCCACCTCCTCGGTTCAAGCAATTCTTGTGCTTCAGCCTCCTGAGTAGCTGGGATTACAGTTATGTGCCACCACATCCAGCTGATTTTGGTATTTTTGGTAGAGATGGGATTTTGTCATGTTGCCCAGGCTGGTCTTGAACTCCTGGCCTCAAATGATCCTCCCACCTTGGCCTCCCAAAGTGCTGGGATTACAGCTACAAACTGCTGCACCTGGCCAGAAGTCCATTGCTTTTCTGATGCTCATTCTTGTGTTACAATTGCTTTTCCTAAATGGAAAGCTCTTCTCTCTTTCCATGCTGTTCTAAAATTTCATGTTATTGTACCTTGATAAACCATTGTACTTTTGACCCAAGTGGGTTCTTTCAATTAGAAAAATTTTATTAAAAAAAAAAAAGTTTTCTTTCGTCCATTTTCTTTGTATTTCCTTTTGAACTCCTATTGATCAGATGTTGGATCTTCCTAAAATAACTCAATAAGTCTCAATATTTTCTCTTCAAATGTCTATGTGTTTGGTTGATTTTTATTGTTATTGCCTTTTTTGCTTTGTTGTTTCTCTATTTTTTTTTTTTTTGGAAATTTCTTTGACTTCATCCTGCAAATTTTCTGTGAGTTTTTTATTTCAGCAGTCATATTTGGTTTCTAAGATTTCTTATTATTCTTTTTTCATAGCTACTTATTATTGATTGCATTAACTACAGATTACCCCCACTTCCTGTTTGTGTGTCTCCTTGTTTTTCACATGGCAAGCTTTTCTCGAATGTCTGGTGATCTTTGGATATCTATTCTTATAGACTGTAAAATAATAGTATTACTGAGGATGATATGACTTTGTACATAAGTGAGATTTATGGGGTTTCTCGGTAGAATCATTTGGCAAGGAACCAGTCGTATTATTATGAGGATCTCCCCCCAGCTATTATATGCACCAATCTTCTAATGGAGTTATTCAGCTTATTGAGAGAAGATTTCTTCAGCCTCCTACTTTGAGGCATACTTCCTAGTGCTGAAAGTAAAGTGTGGCTGTGTGCAGATACGAATGGAGGATGTCTCATCATTCAAAATCCTAGTATTTACTCATTTTCCATTTTCAGCCTCAGCCTTCTCTGAATCCAAAGTCACACCTATTTAAATTCTGCAAAGTCATCTCCAGTCTCTTATCGGAGAAGGAGATGGAACATGTACTTACTTGGTTTCATGGGGATAGAAATGGAGACTTGACAATTTCACTGTTCAGTGCGCAGACTTTCAACCAGTCCTTGCAGTTTTCCTTCTCAGTCTTACCCCACCTTCTGAAATACCTGGTGCCTTCAAGTCATGAGCGTCTAAATGATTCCTCAGGGGATTAGGGGGGTTAGGGTCATGCTTCTTCAGTCTCTCACTCGGCTGTCAGTTTAGATTGTAGCTCCCTCATTTATTTTTCTAAATCACTTATCACTTCTCTTTCCAATTTCTAAATTTTTTTCAATTTTTGTCCACCAATGTTTTCTCTTCCTCCAACATTATACCTTTTCCAAATTTCTTTGCTATCATTTAATTAGAATCATGAGAAAGAAAAATAAAATTGTGTGGTCAATCAGCCATCTTAACTGGAAGTCCCTAAACTGCTCTAGATATTGAAATGTAGATAAAAATCTTTTTGTAGAATAGGATCTTAAAAGTATTCTAAATCTGTATAATTCTTTCCAACTTTCTTTTCCAGCTTGCAAAGAATTTTCACCATTATGCATTATCTAATACCAAATTTTGTAAGATACTTGAGAATTTTTAAGGTAAAGTGACTGGTTACATAACTAATAAGAATCATATTCATCCCACTGGTGGAGACTATTTAATTAGAAAAATACTTGGCCATTATCTAGGTCCTAAACCTTGAAGAATATAATTATGTAAAGTTTTTTGTCTTTTTTTTTTTTTTTTTTTTTAGACAGTCTCACTCTGTAGCCCAGGCTGGAGTGCAGTGGCACGATCTCGGCTCGCTACAAGCTCCATCTCCCGGGTTCAGGCCATTCTCCTGCCTCAGCCTCCTAAGTAGCTGGGACTACAGGTGCCCGCCCCCATGTCAGGCTAATTTTTTTTTTTTTTTTTGTACTTTTAGTAGAGACAGGGTTTCACCGTGTTAGACAGGATGATCTCAATCTCCTGACCTCGTGATCCGCCCACCTCAGCCTCCCAAAGTGTTGGGATTACAGGCGTGAGCCACTGCGCCCCGCCTTGTCTTTTTTAAGAATTAAAAAATAAAAAATACTCAAGTGTCTTATTCTCTTGGTGTAAACATTTAAAAATTCATCTAAATTTTGTAAACAAATTGAATAATTTAACATCATTCTAATTGTTTACTGTAATGTCAAAAGCAAAGCCTATGGGACAAGCATTAAATTGTGCTTCCATTGTCTGGGATAGTTCAGCTCTTGCACTATTAGGACAAAAAAAAAAAAAGGGCTCAGGAAAATAAGCTGCAAACCTCAGCAACCAGCTCTATTGTAGACTCTATCTTTAGTTTAAACTCATCAACAGTGGTTGTTGAAACTTACCTCTCTATCCTCTCAATTTCATTCCCATCTACTCACTCTCACCAAGTGACTAGCCTCTCTAAATTGCACGAATAAGATTATATGGTACATATGTCCTCAAATTCACTTTTCTATTTGTCAATATTCTCTGCATTCTAATCATTCTATACATTACTTTTCCTTTAGAGGATAACTTTATTCTTTCCTTGCTGGGATTAAACTTGGGCCTCTAATCCTTTTCTCTCTCTCACCTACTTCAGGATGTTTCTATATTATTTTTTTTCTCCTATATCTTTAATTTTTCCCATCTCCATTGACTCCTCTTCCATCTATACAAACATGACTAAGCCTTTCATATCTTATAAAAGAGCTTCCTGTGATCCTGCGAACTTCTTAAGCAATTTGTGTAGCTTTCTCCTTTTCTGCACACCAAACTTCTTAGAAGATCAGATGACATGACTTGCACATACTCACCACCCACTCATTGTTCAACCCCTTGCTTTCTGATTTCATCATGGGAGTCCTGTTGAGTGTAAAAAGGTAACTGATAATCCATTCTTCAATAGAGTTGACTTGTCACATGTTTTATTATCCTCTATCTCTTAAAATATTCAGTGTGGTCATTTATTTATTTATTTATTTATTTATTTTGTGTGTGTGTGTGTGTGTCTTACTGTGAACCTGGGCACTTTTCTTGGTAGTAAAGACTAATAAACAAAACAAACTTAGATCCAATTCTTGTGAATCTTCCAATTAAGTAATTGAAACACATGGTACAAATGAACACACTAAAAATATTTCATTTCAAATTGTAGTAAGTATAGTGAAAAAATGGATGTTACAGGATCTAATTTAGATTATAAAGTACATATTTAAAAGAAAAAGAGGCATTAGACAGGTAAAAAGCAGGGGACAGTTTCAGACAGCGTGAAGAGCAAATCAAAGTCCCTAAGGTAGAAAATAAAGAGTTCAAGATATTCAAGAAAGACAAAGATTACTGTGACTGAAACCTGGTCAGACAGTAGAAAGCAGCAGGCAATTAGACTGGAGTAACAAGCACAGGCAAGATCACACGGGCCATGTTAAAAATTATAGATTTCTTCTTAACTGTGTGGATACCCATAGAAGGAATTAAGCTGAAGAGTAATATTCAATTTACATTTACATAAGTTCAACCTGGCTGCCGGGTGCTTAATAGGTTAGAGGTGGACAAGAGTGGAAACAGGAAGATCAGCTAATATGCTACTGCACATCATCTGAGTTAAAAATGAGAATGGCTTGGTTTGGAATGATGGCAGTGGCTATGGATAGAAGCAAACTGATTTATAATACACAGTTGACCCTTGAACAATGCAGGGGTTGGAAGCATCAAGCCCCACACAGTAAAAAAATTACGTGTAACTTTTGACCCCCGGTGAACTTAACTACTAATATCCTACTGTTGATGGAAAGCCATATTAATAACTTAAACAATATATATTTTTGTTATATGTATTACATAGTGTATTCTTTATAATAAAGTCAGCTACAGAGAAGAAAATGTTATTAAGAAAATCATATAGAAGAGAAAATATATTTACTCTGTATTAAGTGGAAGTGGATCATCACAGAGGTCTTTAACCTCACTGTCTTCACACTGAGTAGGCTGAGGAGGAGGAGCAGGAGGAGAGGTTGGTCTTGCTGTCTCAGAGGTGGCAGAAGTAGAAAACCTGCATATAAGTGTACCTGAGCAGTTCAAACCCATGTTGTTCAAGGGTCAAGTGTATTTTGGAAACAAAATCTACAGAACTTAATGATGTATTTGGAGGTAGGGGGAAGAGAGGGGACCACAGATGAGAAAGAGATCAGAAGAGTGAAGGAGAAGAATTAGAGAGAAAGATCGAAAGTTCTACTTTGTATATCCTCCTCCTTGAAACTTTTTCTTACACATGACCTATCTTTCTGACCTTGCTTTCAGCCGTTTTACTTCATTGTCTTGCTCCAAATGCAAACAGGCTTGAAGGCACTGCTTAGATATTCTCTACTGTCCCTCCCCAGTCCTCTTTCAGTTTCACCTGGTCCTAAACTCCGACTCTAATCCGATGACTCATTGGTTTTTCTCTCTTGATTCACCCAATTTTCTGGGCTATGACACATTTTCAATTGTTTTCTGATCGTTTCGCTTTAGATGACCCCTTTGTACCTCCAACTCAATTCAAAATTAAATTCATGTTTTTCCCATATCCACTATGGTTCTTGCTTATATTACCACTACCATCTTTCTGGTCACCTGGATTCATATTCATCACTAACTTCTGCTTCCTCCTTGCTCTTTGCTTCAGTTGCTATGGTTTTATCAGTGTACTCTATTAAATTTTATGTTTCTACCTTCCTTATATTTTCCTGAAGTGAAAGCCCTGATTGTAACTTAAGCCCCCATTATGCTTTACCCGATTATTTTTATCACTTCTATCTTCCTACCTCCAATATCTTTCCTATTCCACGAACCAGCACATGACCTTTAGAGTAATCATCCTAAATAACAATTGTAATCATTTCACTTGTGTCTAAAATCTTCAATGATTCTATTATCTTCATTCTCTTATCTTCAGAGTAATTTTCAAATTTCTTAAAAGTGTATTAAATGCTTCTTATGATCTGACCCCAATCTATTGTCTACCTTGATTCCCAAATAACTTGAGCATATCGTCATCCTGAAAATCTGTCTGATGCTCTTGCAACACTGTCCCCTTGCTCGTGCCACGTGTACTGCCTTCACCTTTTCATACTGAAACTCTTCTTTCTTAAAAGCATAAAATGATGTCTCTCACTTCTCCAACTAGCAATAAGTTCTTCTCCTGATGCTCCCCAATAGAATATGAGTCTGCAATGGAACGGACCTTTTTCATCTTTTATCCCCCACGGTGCTGAGCATACTATCTTGCATATAACAGGAACAGAGCAAATATTAAATTGAATTGACATATTAGCACACTTTCTGATGAGTTTGTAATGTGTGCAATAATCTTGATAAATGTGATTATATAATGAATTTGGCCTTAACGTCAGGTAATATGTGAAATGCATATTTTTTATGTGAGCTGTTTACAGAACCAAAATCTCTACTTTACTATGAATAAGCCTCTATAGGCCTTAATTTAAAATAGTAATAAATTTAAAATTCCTCAAATTTTTGAACTGAAGTTTATTGAGGTTTCCTCCTTTGTTACACCTTTGATTTCTTGGGGACCCTGGAAAGAACAGTCTTTATGAATATATTTAAATTCTGAGATATAATCAAAAAAATTACCTACCAGTTTCTCTATCAACCAAAACAAACACTAAGCTATTTAAACATTAGATTGATTTTTCTGAATTGAAAGCTTTGCCTTATCTAAAATTTTATGCAAGTTAGCAAAATGTGACTATCTGTAAATTTCAAATAAATTCCATCAAGTTAAAGTTTGCCTGCACTCTAACGAGAGGATTAAGTCCAGTAATATGAATGCTAAATGGAGAAATGGAATGATTAGAGTAGATAGAGACTCTGTAACAAATTCCCTACTCAATTTCAACAAAAAACTTCTAGATAATTCCTTAAAAGTAAAAGGAAGAGTTTGACCACTATAATTGTTTGCATTTACACTCTTCACTTAGCTAATTTACCTCTTTAAGAATTTTTTTCTAAATGAAAGTTTCTAGTCCATAATTCTCTAATAGCTGTTTTACCTTCTCTGTGAAAATTAGAGAAATGACAGACAACTGAGGATCAATAATACCTTAAGTTTATGTCAAAAACATGTTTAAAATAATAATTAAAACTATATATAAAGATAATTTTATATTTGAACTTCCTCCAAATCATTTTTGACTAATCTTTTTTATGAAAGTTATCTAGGATGATATCTCTTATCTGGGAATAAAGGTTTTGAAACATTGCTTTATCTTCAATAATAATTGCTACTAATTCAAGGGATCTGTATCTGCAGATTCAACCAACCTTGAATAAAAAATAGATGGTTGCATCTGTATTGAACATGTATGGACTTTTTTTCTTGTCATTATTCCCTAAACAGTATAGTGTAACAACTATTTACATACTATTTGCATTGTATTAGGGATTATAAGTAACCTAGAAATGATTTAAAGAATAGGGGAAGAGGAGCGTAGGTTGTGTGCAAATAAATACAAAGCTGTTTTATATAATGGACTTGAGCAGCAGGAATTTTGGTGTCTTTGGGGTCTTTGAACCAATCCCCAGCAGGTATCAGTTGTCTTATTTAAATGTCACAAGCACCCTACAAAGTAAGTGTCATTAACCCCACCTTAGAGTTGAGAAAGTGATAATGAGGTTACATTACTGACCTGAGGTCCTAAAAGCCGGAAGTCAGGGAATAGGAAGTCAACTCAGTCGTTTCCGAGGCCAGAGCCTAAGCACTGGATGGCCGGACAGCACAGTTCACTGGAGTCTGGATATCCCGAGGGCAAACAAATGCTGAGGAAACATCTAATGTCAATGGGTAAGAAATGTTACGGCCTATTACATGAATCTCTAGCTCTTCGTTTAACTTTTTTTTCTTTTGCATTATTTTCCTTCAGTTGCTGGAAATCTTTTTGCTGCATTGTCTGTGATGATAGCTGGCTTCTTTGAAATACACAGAAAACATTTCCCTCCAGTGGAGCAGCCCCTTTCAGGAAAAGTTCTCACTGTTTCCTCCATGCCCTGTTTCTACCTGATTCTTCAGTATGTTTTACTTGGAGTGGCGGAAACACTGGTAAACCCAGCTCGTGAGTAAACACTTTTTCAACTACTGTTAGAATGCACTGAACCTTTACACAGAACACATCACCTCAACCAGAACAATTAAAGTGGTAGGTCATCTATTCACCCCCTAGAGAGTTCCCACAACACTTCAAGCAAATTTATCTATTACTTTCATTTTCACAAACATTTCATTTCTCCTCATTCCTCTACCATGCACAGAACAATTATCAATTCTGCCTGGATGCAGATGGAACAAAAGGTTTTTAACCTGGTAAAGGCAATAACCATTTTGTCAGACACACCACAGGAGGAAAACCTCTGCTCAAACCCAGAAGACAACTCCAGAACACTAAGATGAAAACTCTCTTCTCTTCTCCCTTCCCTCTTCTCACCTCCCCCATTCTCACTCATAGATAAACTCACAGGCCGGGCCCGGTGGCTCATACCTGTAATCCCAGCACTTTGGGCGGCCGAGGCGGGTGGATCACGAAGTCAAGAGATTGAGACCATCTTGGCCAACATGGTGAAACCCCGTCTCTACAAAGAATACAAAAAATTAGCCGGGCGTGGTGGCAGGCGCCTATAGTCCCAGCTACTCGGGAGGCTGAGGCAGGAGAATCACTTGAAACCGGGAGGCAGAGGTTGCAATGAGCCGAGATTGCGCCACTGCACGCTAGCCTGGCGACAGAGTGAGACTCCGTCTCAAAAAAAAAAAAACAACTCACATATATACCCCTCCAAAAATGACACTTAATGTTCTTTGAGAGTATATAAACATGCAAATGAAATGAAAATTTAAGCCAATTTTCCAGATAACTTGATGTCTTTGAATTAAATTACACTAGATTAAATGAGATCACTATTGTTTCATAAGACAGGTTCAAAATAAGTTTATTAAATATCAAGGGTTTCTGAATTATCTAGATTGCTTATATTAAACTAGCCACTTTACAATTTATCACAGTATTTCAGTGACTTCTTGCAATACAGTAATGTGTGTGTACATATATTTATCAGTGTAATTGATTACATCTGGTTCTATCCTCCTTAAATTTTCGTGTAGTAGGAGTCCTGATTGTAACTCAAGCCCCCATTATCCTTTATGGATAATATTTTTATAACTTCTAACTATCTTCTGACTTCCAATATCTCTCCCATTCTATCAGCCGGCACATGGATTTTAGAGTAATCATCCTAAATAACAATTCTAACCATTCCATCTGTGTCTACAATCTTCAATGATTCTACTATCTTCAAAGTTGTTTCCAAACTCCTTAAAGATAAATATTTAATAAATATGTATTTATACACATACATACTTATGATACCAAGGCAATTCATTAAACAATGAAAATAAAATTAAGTTGGAGTATATTCATACATATGTATGTCTCATGTGTCTCAGACTTCTTTTTATAATTTTATATCATTTCATTCCATATATTTTGCATACATAAATTACTTTATGTGATTTTATATTGGGGACCTCACTGTTCAACATTGCAAGGAAGACAAAAGAAGTGTAAAGCAATGCTACTACACAAAAATTTGTGATGTTCTCTGATGTTATTCCCAAAATTGTGTTGGAAGTAGTCAGCCACAATTTTCTGGGCTGGATTAGAGTAAATAATGAGTAAAGGTAATTAGTGACTATGTGGAGGAAATTGTTAGCCAGCTTAGCAATAGTGGTTCAACCTACAGAAGCCAGAGAGGTACAGAAAAACCAATGACTGTGAAAAAGGCAGATCATGTACTATACATCACTTACTCCACCACTCCTTGATTTACTCTTCAGGAAATCAGGTCTAACTGAAGTCTAGGTCACTTGACTCATCTGCTGTTGGGGTCATGGGCCAGGGATTGAAAGAATTTGATCTGCTATCTAGCTTTTCCATTACTGCCTACATAAACTTGGGAACTCATTTAACCTCCAATCCTCATTTTTCTGATATTTAAAATAGAAATAATTTTATTCTTCTTTATATCACAGGATTGATAGGGTAAGAATCAATGGGAATGAGAGTCTACTCCTTGAAAATCAGATGACGTAAAATATGAAAGGGTATTTCGAACTATAAAATCAAGTATTACCCTTCTGGGAGACAGTACAGCATAGAGGTTAGGCGCTATGGTCTTAAAGTCAGACAGACCTGAATTCAAACCCAGTTCTGTCACTGACTAACTCTGTTTGGGAAAATCATTCCTCATTTCTGGGCTTTTCTCATCATCTATAAAACAGGGAGTGGTTCAAAGGACTAAGTGGAAGATTTTATGTAAAGCAAAAACCATAGTGCCCCGTGTATAGACAGCATTCAATAATTAGCAGTTATAATGTGTTGTTATCATTACTAAAAGTAATGGCAAAAACCACAATTACTTTTTCACGGACCTAATATTATTATCATGTTTCACATGAATTAATAGTGTCAGACTTAGAACAGAAGTACAGGTGTCCTGCTCCCAGTTCTTTCTGCCATAAACCACCTGGCAGCGTAAGCAGAACTGTCTCTCACTTGAGTCATCCTAGATCCGTCTCTTTCCTCTCACCTCTCCTCTCCAATCCAACAGCAAGTCCTCGTTTTTACTCTGAAAGAGAACTTAAATCTGGCCACATCTCACTATCCCCTTTGTTCTCCTCCTGGCCTACACCACCATCATCTCCAGCCCCAATTTGACCAGAGCCTCTGAACTTTTCTCCCGGCTTCCCTTCCTGCCCCGTGAGTCCATTCTCTTCAAAACAGCTGTGGTGTTCTCAAAACATAGGTTCTGTCGTTCCCCTGCTTGAAATTCCACAGTAGGGTTTTAGAGATAAATTATTCACAATGGTGAATAATGTTCCACACTATTTGGTCTCTGCGGGTTGTTCCATCTACATTTGGTTACATTCTGTCCCTTGACCACATCCCAGAAATGTGTGTTTCTAAGTTGCCAGATTTCTGTCTACCCCAAGGACTTTCTACTTTCTTTTTCCTTTATTGACAATTCCCTTTCCTCTGTTTTCAAATGACTGGCTTCTTCTCATTATTGAGCTTTCTCAAAGGTCATCTCTTTGGAGGGGCTTCTTTGACCATTCCATCACTTTCCATGTAATTACCCTGGTTTTTTAAAATAGCTCTTTTCATAATCTGAAGTTACTTTATTTATATTTGTACTGCCTGCCTCTCACTGTAAGAATATACACTCCTGATGTCAACATATGTTTCTCCTTCCCAAAAAGTGCATGTACAAAATAAGTGATCAGTAAATACATTTTGTTTGAAGAAACAAATCAATGAAGTCTATGGCTATTTCTATATGGTACAATAAAAATACATTATTCAAAATTTTGACAATGTCCTAAATTGATGGCATTGGGCAAGGAAACACAGTGAATTACTCCATAAATGACAGTAGACATAGTCTAACCTACTAAGACATGTTATACATTGGAGATGAGCTAGAAAAAAAAAAAGCAGTAGAAAACATTTAAAATTATGTTTTAATTGTAGTAGTGCACACCTCATCTGTCTCATACCCTATGTTTGTTTATTAAAAAAATACTGTGTGGGTGTCTACAATGTGCCTAATACTGCTCTCGAAGCTTTAGACACATCAGTTAAAAAAAAATAAGACAAAAATTTCTGCCATTGTAGAGCTTACAGCATTTCTGTGGTTGAGTAGTAGAGAGTAAGTTGGGAAGAATAGAAGGCTCTAATCAGAGAAGGGTGCACAAAATTGTGATTATGGAGTGGGTACAGTTATTGATCCAAGACATGGCTTTGCAGGCCAGTCTCTGTTACAATTACTCAACTATGTCATTGTGGTACGAAAGCAGCCATAGACAACATATAATAAATGAGTATGGCTATGTTCCAATAAAACTTTATTAAAATAGGTGACAAGCTGAATATTACCTGACCATAGTTGGCCAACCACTGGCTGAGGTACAAGGCATAGGTCATGACCTTGGGTGTGAGTGGAGTGGAAGTTAATGTAGATTGGAGATCAAGGACATTGGAGGTCAAGGAACGGGACAACCAAGATTGAAAGGATGGAAGGTGGGAAGGATGATCTATATGTATAGTAAAATTGCCAAGCATTGAGGCAGGAGTAGTACCAGAGACTATGACAATGAGAGAGGAACTGACAACTTTGAGAAAAAGAGGAAAATGTCCTATAGATTGGCAGATGACAGCATGAAAGAGAAGTAGATGATATAATCTGATAATATAAGGTTCAAAGCTGAAGTTTTTTTAGAGTTAAGGGAGATATAACGGTCTAAAAATGGCAACAGGATAAAGTTCTGTTTTCTGGGACTGTAGTACTTCTTCTCCACATGTTCAAAATAACTTTTCACCAAACAAAATAAACACGTTTCAACTGCTTAAGAACAAGCAGAGTAAAAGAAATTTCCAGCAATAAGTCCCCAGTACCAGGTGCCTTAGGAAGGTGGTTATGGCCCTATATTTTGAAGATTCCGCATATGCTGTGATGTGGCATCTTTGCAAGCACTAACCAGCTACTACCTAGAGGCACATTTTTAGCACTCATTGGCAAGAAGACCAACTTTCACATACACATTGAATATTTTTTATTGTGTTTTCATAGTAAAATGAGAACTTCAGTGACAGACTTGTTGATATTATCTACATTGTAATGGGCTAAAAGGAGTATCTCGGAGCCTAAAAAAAAATCAAATTGATGATCACTAAAGTTTCAAAAGATCAGAACATGCAAGTAGATGCCTAAAAATGAAGATTCGAGGACTTGAAAAGCTAAGTCCTATAAAAGGGAACTGGAGGCTTTCAAAAACAACTAAAATGACACCAAAGAGAGATTAACCAGCAGGCAGAGAGCTGGCAAAGTGTGTTCATGAATTATATACCATACCAGAAGTTCTAGCAAGAGAAAAGCATAGGATTAATAATTAACTAGCAAGGTAATAATGGGCTTGTATGTTCTGCTTTTTCTTAGTGAAAGAAATAGGCCTATTTACTCTTTCTGCTCATTACTTGTCTCCTTGTACTTATGGAAAGGAAAGTTTACAAGCCAAATCCTTTTTATAACTGTGAATCATTTATTCCCAAAGCCTATTCAGACTTCCTCTTGTGCTCCTATTTGGACCTTTCTGAAAATACTCCAAGGCTCCTGCTGGTGATTTGTACTACACAAAGAGCTGTGTTACCTTGCCACCAATATTTGAAGCCCTTCTCCACAGTACTTTACCTATCACCATTATTATCTTCATCTCCAATCAGCATCTGTGGGAAAAGTGCGCATTTAGCACTGCCCTTTGTATTAAATCATGTGCTGTTTCTGCTGCAGAGTTTAAAGTCCAGGAAAGATTAAACTGATGCCTTTTCCCACCTATCAGTTCCAGCACTCACCACTTTCCTGAAGCACAAAGCGGGACTCCTTTAAATGTTGATGGGATAAATAAATCAAAACATAGGGAGGACACACGGAAAGTAAAACAGAAATTTTACATTAACGAAGGAAGAAGCATTAATACATTTACATCATGTGTTAGTAAGATCATGGAAAAGTTCTGGTAAATGCAGAGTTTTGCTGTGGCAAAGTATTAAAAACAAAAAACACAGGGGTAAGTGGAGCAGGAGGAGATAATAAGATCTCTTACTTCTCATAGAGAAGGAAACTAAAGGTTTAGTGTTTACAGTACAGTCATGCAACACGTAACAACATTTTGATCAATGATGGATCAGGTGTATGACAGCGGTTTCATAAGATATAATATATTTTACTGTACTGTTTCTGTGTTTAGATATGTTAGGATTCACAAATACTTACCATTGTCCTCTAATTGCCAACAGTATTCAGTACAGTCACATGCTGTACAGATTCATTGCCTAGGAGTGACAGGCTACCCATATAGCACAGGTGTGTAGTAGGCTAGACCACATAGGTTTGTGTAAGTACACTCGACGATGTTTGCACAACAAAATCACCTAATGACACATTTCTCTGGACATATCTCCATTATTAAGCCATGCATGACTGCACATCTGTTTTCTATCATCACTTTTCTTTTTAAAACGAGCTGTAATATTTATTTATGATTTCATTGTGGAAAGATTTGCAAAGCACAAAAGAGTAAGAGGAATATTAGAAATCCAGTAATTCAACCACTCAAAGCTAAGACTGTTAATATTATTTGGTGTATTTCCTTAAAAATTTTTTGGCACACATTATATTAGAGATTAGTATAATAAACTCTCCTGTATCCATCTTCTAGAATCAATAATTTTCAACTCATAGCCAAAACTTGTTTCATCTCTACTCTCATTCACATCTTTTTTCCTTCTTGTTGTATAATTTTGAAGCAATCCCAAATATCATATTATAATAAACATCAAATATTTTAAGACATATCCCTAAGATTGTCATGCATTTTAATATATTATGTTTATATGGCATGTACAAAACCTCATATACTTATTTTCATCTATTTGATTTCAAAAGAAAGCTACTTTTTCAATTGAAAATTAAAAAATTTTTTTTCGTGGTTTTTTTAACCTCTTGTTACCATCATTACTGGCACCCAAAAAATGATTTGGGAAGGAAAGATAACCACTTTGGAGACCCAATGCTTAAGCTATTGTCTCTCTCTCTGAGCACCTCTCCTGAAGTGAGATAATGCATATTAATGGCTTTGTAGAGTAGGAGCTACTTAGTTTGATAAGATTAATACTGTCAAAAATGCCTAACCCTTATTCAGGACCTACAAGTCAGCATTGGACTAAGCACTTTACATGTAGTATTGCAGGTCAGTGTCCCAGCACCTCTGCAAGTGAATAATGATATTATTCCGATTTCATAGAGGAGGACATTGAGGCTTGGAAAGTTTAAGTCACTTACCTAAAATCACAGAGATAGTCGATGGCTGACACGGTATTTTAAGACTATCTTGTCCAACTCCAGAGCCCATGCTCTTAACGTTGATGCAAATTTTATACAAGTTTTCTAGAAGGAACCTGATGAATTACACAGAATCACAGAATTAACAGATTGTCATATTATCTAACAGAGGCCACACCTCAATCCAAAATTTATCAGAAATATTCAATTTGGAGTGAAATTAGGGTGAATACATTAGGACACTCAACTACTAAGTAATCAAATTCTTCTTGTAGCTGGGTCAAGGTATATTTTGTCATATTTTATTCCTTGAAGACATCTGTAAATTGTATCACAGTATATCTTACTATAATAACCTTAACAAAGTCCAACCCAAATTTTTACTGTATCAGTAAATTTTCTTTGATATATGATCAACATCAATTTGAACAGTCTCTATGAAAGAGTTTTCAGGAGGAAGTTCTAAATTCTGACCTCTCTTTTTCTCTCAGTCTCTGTAATATCATACAGATTTGTTCCAAGCATCGTCAGAGGAACCTCCATGAATTTTCTGACACTGTTCAATGGATTTGGCTGTTTCACAGGGGCACTGCTGGTGGAGTTGGTATATCTCATCTCAGAAGGTAAAAATAGGTTCGTGGCATGCTTATATACATTGAGTTGATGACTAGGGAACGGGGAGACCAAACCTTAAGAGAGGGGCTTTGCCAGTGCAGTCTTTTTTTAATTGATCCAGTTTTGCAATTAAGATAGAATTAAGATAGGAAATACACTCTTGCTGTATTCATTAATTTCTGGGAATTGTTTTTCTTTTGATAGGAGGAGGTAATTACAGAATGTCATGCTGTCCTTAGTGTATTTTAAAACAAACTGGTCATTATATTCTTATTAGATCTTTCAATGAGGCCATATGCAATAATGCCTCACAGCTGGCATAGACAGTCTTCAGAAAAAGTAAGACCTGTGTAAATATAGGGGATAGGGTACCTGAATGATCTTTTTTTTCCCTCATGATTTGCCACAATTCTTGTCTATGCAATCAAAGAGAAATTGTGAATTGAATAATAAATGATATTTTAAAATTTTCCCAGTAGAGATTTTGGTCAGGAGAAACAACTAATCTGAAAAATTCAAACATTATTTGAAACATTAAAGTATCTACTAAAGCAAATATTTGATTAAAGCAAATTTTAAAGAACTACTCTTTGGTTGCATGTGTTGAAAAAATAACAGCCAGACAGGATGACAATAATGATCAGCCATCACAGTGAAATGACTTTGGCTGTATTTTAAATCCGGACTTTTGAAATTTTGTTCTAAAATGTTAATATAGCTTTAATTTAATTTTAATGTATGTTTGCTTATTTTGTGGAAATGATCACAAATGTATTCTCTACTTTCAAAAATACTTATAGTTGTGCACTGAAAATGATGTAAAGAAAGTGTTAGTTTCTATTCTCTTATAACAAACAAATCTAATTTACCTGCTTTCAAACCATGGAAAAAATCAACTTCTATGAATGAGACACTCCTTTTAACACTAAATCTCCATTAAAAAAATATTTATCAAGGACCCGCTCTGTTCCAGGCACCATATTGGGCACTGGTGATACCATGGCAAGCAAAATAAACACTTGCAAGCCCTTAGGAAATTTCCAGGGGTACAAGTAAGAATGAAATTAAAAGTGAGAAAGTCAATGATCGATATAATAGCAGAGTTCTTGGGGAGAAACCTACTAATCCTTGATTGATGACTGACAAGGTCAAACTCTGCCCTTTCCTCAGTTATCTGAGAAAATTAAGATGAACTGTGTGTTGAGTATTTACTACGTACTAGGTCGTGTGCTACATGGAATTGTGTGAGATATGGTCCAGTTCTCAAAGAACTCAAATTCAAACTGCGATAGCTAACTGTGTGAACGGCGGCAAGTTGCTGACTTTTCTAGTACTCAGATTCTTTGTACATAAGCTAGAGACAAAGCACTGACATTAAGATTTTGTAAGATAATCTTGCAAACTCTTAACATATATTCACATCTGAAACATTTTCAGTGTTGAATGTGTTACCTTTCTTTACGTTACTCAGCGAAGATATTTCCAAAAATTTGCTAAAACAAAATTTCGAGAATCAAATCACATTTGACATATACATGAAGAACTGCAAAGTCAAATATTACTACTAGTTTATCTTTTATATAAATTTCAATGTTTCATATGCATGCTTAAGCAACTTACCCAGAGTTAGACCAAACATCCTTGGCTAAGTTCTCTCCAAGGCTACCTTCACTTTTTTTTTTTTTTTGACATAAAGAGTCTCACTCCAGAGGCTGGAGTGCAGTGGCACGATCTTGGCTCACTGCAACCTCCACCTCCCAGGTTCAAGCAATTCTTCTGCCTCAGCTTCCTGAGTAGCTGGGACTACAGGCGCCCGCCACCACACCCAGCTAATAGTAGAGATGGGGTTTCACCATATCAGCCAGGATGGTCTCGATCTCTTGACCTCGTGATCTGCCCGCCTCGGCCTCCCAAAGTGCTGGAATTACAGGTGTGAGCCACCACCCTTGGCCACTACCCTCACTTTAGATACTAGCCACAAGTTTGGAGATTCCTAGGGCTGTCATCACCTCTGACAAGCTGTCTATAAATGTGGGGATCCCCACAGACTCCCTCAGTATGATAATTTGCTAGAATGATTCATAGAAGTTAGAAAAGTACAATACTTACAATTACAGTTTATTATGGCAAAAGAATACGAATCAGAATGAGCTAAAGAGAGAGGCACATGGAACAAGGTCTGGGAGGGTTCCAAAAGTGGAGCTTCCTTCATCCTCAGGTATGCACTACCTGCATCAATATAAGAATAATGCCAACTAGGTGAGCTCAACTGAGCTTCACTGCCCAGCGTTTCTATTGAGACTTTATCACATAGGCACCATTGATTGAATCACTGTGAGCTCAATCTCCATCCTCCTTCTGCTCCCCAGAAGTTGGGCTGGTAATATGTGGCTCAAAGCTCGAAATCTGATTACGTGGTTGGTCTTCCTGGCTGCCCACTCTCCATTCCGGGTCATCTGATTAGCATAAATTATCTATGGGCCCTCTCCATTCTGAGTTGCCTCATTAGCATAAACTATCAGGTGGGGCTGAGGGTCCCACCATAAATAACAGATATTCCAACCACTCAAGAAGTTGAAAGGATTTAAATTACCTCCCAGAAATCAATCCAGGCAAATGTTTTAATCACACAACTATTCTTACAAAAGCATTTCACTGAAAATCTAAATTTTTACTGGCAATCTGTATAGTATAGTAGGAGCTGTTACATGCATTATTGCATTTATTACAACAACCTTATATTATTATTCTCGTTTTTTAAATGTAATGATTCAGGCAGAAAAAAAATGAAGTCAAGTTCTCTAGTCATCACAACCGGTAGCTGACAGAGATCTAATCCTCTTGGCATTCTGAAACCAGTTCCAACATTGATTTCAATACACCAAGGAACTTGTAGGAATCCCCAGATGTAAAGGTTTTTAAAGACTTTTGTTACTTTTGCAATATAACCTCCGTGGATGGACGTCTGTATAATATTGATAATATTCTAGATACAGTACAAAGGTGCAGAAACAAAAGTTTATATAATTTTGGCACAATTTGGTGCCCATGACAGGAAATTTACCAGGGACACACGGTGAGGACATCTTAGCAAGATGGGTTGTGGGGTGGAGCACTTTCTAAACTGTGCTCAAGAGAACACCATTTAAATTATCACTAATCAATTTAAGCTACATCTTCTTTTAAGCGTATTCTTTCCAGTTAATAATAATAGTGTGTTATATCAAATTATAATCCCAATAAATTACAATCATAGAGTTGAATGTTGCCTTAGATCTCAACTAGTCTAACATTGTACCAAACACAGAAAACGTAGTAGGATAATTTAGTGCTGAGAAAAATTCTCTACTTTGAGATATAACCTGAGTGTGCCCATCTAGTGATCACTATGTTCTACAGAGTAAGTCCGATTCTCCATTCACATAGCAGCTCTTCAAACATCTGATAAATACTTGGAGAAATAATATCATATAGTGGTTAAGAGAATAGGTTCTGGAGTCATACCACCTGAATTTGAATCCAGGTAGTCTAGCTATGTGTTCTCAGTTTCTATTTCAGTAATGACAATAAATAATTCATTATGTTGTTCTGAAGATTAAGCAATTAATATGCATAGTGTTCAATAAAGATGGCAATCATGACCCTTTCTATTTTATAGACAAACCACCCCTGTCTTTTCATATTGCATGATTCCTTGATTTTTCACTATCAAGGTTCACTATCAAGGCCCCTCCATCCATTAAACAAACAACAGCTTATCAGTATCTTTCTTAAAATATGGCTTCCAAAACTGAAGATAATATGAGTACAACCAGGGTACAAAATGGGTACAATCAAGATAAGTATGTTACTTTTATCAACCTGGACTCTCTCTCTCTCTCTGAATGTCAGCAGCGATTTTGTTGACTTTTTCACAGTTGCATCCTGCTTATGGTCAATTAAAACTTGAAACTTTTTTTAATTTTCAGGAGTTGCTTTCAGCTCAGTTCTACTCATCACAGTTCTTTTTTCTAATTAGATGCAGCACTTTATTTTTATCTTTAATAAATGTCAACCCATCATCCTAAGTAATAGACATTTTTGAAAATTGATTCTGTGTCATCCAGGGAATTACTAATCTTTACTTGCTTTGTGTCATCTGCAAATTTGGTAAGCAAGTTCCTAGACTTCTTCCAGGTAATTGATAAAATTTTTGAATTGGACAGGACCAAAAAAGAGTCTTACAGAAAATTCCTAGACCCCATTGCAAGTTAATGACAATCCATTAATCCTCTCCTTTTGGATATAATCAGTTCCCAATTCACCTAATTACTATCATTCAGCCCACATACTTCTCCATCATTCACTAAATGACATCACAGGAGACTTTTCGTAGGTTTTTCTGGAAATAGGATAAGTCTCTTTGTGACAATCCCTTTAGCCATCAGGATAGTATTCCTCAATGAAAGAAATGAGGTTCATTTAGATGATGTGGTTATAGTAATCCTATACTAGTGTAACAAATAAAGGCCCTAAAAGAGAGTGGCCATAAGCATGACTTTGGGTAGGTCAGTATTATACATTCTAAAACTCGGTTTTCTTAATTAAAAAAGGAAATTTTACTTCACTTTTCTCAGAGAGGATGAGAGAATAAAATTAAATAAGATATTTGAAACTTTTCTCTGCCAGAGATTATTTTTAAATACAAAATTGTCATACATTATAATGGCTCATTTGGCCAAAAACAAGATCAGTCCACTCAAACAAACAGACCAATTTTTTTGACAGAAGTGACCATAATGAAACAAACACTATAATTATATATTTAGGCACCCTATATCCTTCAGCATTTCTTTTAGTATATAGGATATTTTCAACCTTTAAGGATTCATGTCAGCTGAGCATGTGTGCGTGTGAGTGTGTGAGAGTGTTAGGATACGATTGGAAAAGAAGATCAGCTATCACAGTCTTCCAGTCTCCAAGCTGCATTAGTCATTTTTAGCACCATGATGGAGAATGGTGTGAATGCGGTAAATTCAAAAGATTTCTCAAAACTTGACTGTGCAGACAGATAACTGTTAGAGTGACATTTTCAGTACAAGTGAGAAAACTGATCCTTCTGGGATCTCTAACTCTGAGTGCTTTAAAGGAGAAGATACAAGACTAAACTCATCCTCCTACACTAATCATTTCAGGAATAGTTTATCTAAAAGTAGCAGTGCTAATATAAGGGAATGAAGAAGTCAGTCAAACTGCTTATTTCGACTCTATCCCATTAGCAACAAGATCAATTTCCTCACACTCCTGAATTTGAACTTACCTTTTCATAAAAAAAAAACAAAACAGAATTCAGTAAAAAATGACATCTTAGTTATGGACATGCAGGTGATTGAAAGATCCAAAGCAAAATATTTAAGACAAAAAGGGATAACTGGGCAGAATCAAGAGGTCAAGTGGTATATCTTCTTGTCCCTACAAGTTCTTTCTCCTCAAAATTCAGGAAAGGGGCAAATAATGTAGCTGTTTAATTTCCATCAAGAGTATTTTAAATTAAAAATGAGATCACCTGAAAGACTCATTTAAATATCTATGATTATTGAGGCCACTGGCAGTTATGTCAGCATGAATCACTGAGTCATTCTTGAAACAGGAATTTGCAGTTGCAGCAAAATTGAAAGAAGAAAATATGCATCTGGAAAAGTATTCCAATTCCATTTCATGGGCTCATGCCTATTATCTAAGAGATACGCTTCTTCAAATTCAGATCTATGCCTCGGGTCCAACTTCATATGGGATTTGGGCTTATAGATTTTTAGATTCAGAGGGGAAAATAAGTGGCCTACTGCCATAATTCACCCTTAGCCAGGCCCATACTCTACTTGTCAACTGGTTTAGTGCCAGTGTTCCTGTAGCTAAGTCAGCAGGGCCCCAACAACTCCCATAGGCAAACCCTGCTCTTGGTCCTCAGTCAGAATTTGAAGCAAAGCCCCCCTCATACAATGGTTTTATGTATTTCAGATACAATTTATTCTATATCCTTAACTTTTTACTCCACAGAAACCCCCAATGCTGCACAGAGGACTTTGAGTTTATAACAGCATCAGGAAAGAGCCAGCTTTAGACTGTGGAAAGCAACAGTCATTGCTGTTGGCTCACGAGAGGTAGAAAAGGCAGACATCTGAGTCAGATGAACCTGAATTCAAATGCAACTCAGCTCTCAATGAGCTCCTAGATCTTGAGCTCATCACTTAACCATACCAAGTCTCAGTTTCTCCTTCTCTAGAATGGAGTCTGTTTCTCTTTCTAGTCTTCACTAGTAACTTACCTTTCAAGCTTTTTATGAGGACTAGAAGAAATAGATAAAAATCACCAGCTAAATGCAGATGCACAAAAAAGAATGATTTTGTTGTTATCTTAATTTGAGTGGGACCTCAACATCTTCCAAGTGGGCTAGATGTATTATAGATATGATGTTTTGGTATGGCACTTAATTCTCCAGAAAAGAATAGATTCCATATTTGCAGAGTTCAGTTGTCCTGTTCAACTTCAATTCCAGGTAGAGACTGGGAGGCGATGAAATTAGAAAGTGCTCTGAGATTCTTCTTGGCCTCATGTACCCATGTAATTAATGGAGCCTCCTACGCATGGCAAATTTGTAAGTCTAGGTGGAGTTACAGACACATGAACATGCACATTAGGAGTACCTGGAAATGGTATTGAAGCTGAAACTAGAAAGATGAGTGCAATTTAGCTTGGTAAGCACAGGAATGAAGGATTTCTGGTACAGAGCACATATATCAAGGCCCATAAATAAATAAATGATAGGTGCATAAGAGGAACCCAGAGAAGGCCAGTAAGCCGAAAATATTCAAAAAAGGAGGAAATGGCCTGAAGTCACATTGGAGAGTTAGGTAGGGGCAAAACCACTGGGGACCTTTTAATACAGGGATTTTATGTTTACTTGGATGTTATAAGAACGATAACATTCAAAACACCAATGACCTCCTGGTGTTTTGGGAAGATCATTATGGATGCAGTATGATTTTGAGGAAAGAAAGAATAATTTGGGAAAAACAAGGAAGTATAATTGAAGTAATCCACATAAGTCTGAAATAGTAATGAACTAGAGAGGAAGTAGGTAGATGGAGCGAAGTGAATGGATATAAGCTATATTTTAGACGTAGAATCAAAGTCTTAGCAATGGCTTTGAGAAAGTCAGGAGACAGTAGGATGCAAGAGGGAGGAGGTAGTATCAGGAAAGCATCCCAGGTTCTGCCCATGAGCTCCTGGGTGGGCAAAGATTCCATTTACTAAATGGAAAAAACTGGAAGAAGAACAGACTTTAAAAGTTGCCATCCCCTTCTGCGCGGTCACGCCGAGCCAGCGCCTGGGCCTGGAACAGGGCGGTAGTCCCCCAGCTTCGCCCACCACCTCTCTACCATGGACCCCCGCAAAGTGAACGAGCTTCGGGCCTTTGTGAAAATGTGTAAGCAGGACCCGAGCGTTCTGCACACCGAGGAAATGCGCTTCCTGAGAGAGTGGGTGGAGAGCATGGGGGGTAAAGTACCACCTGCTACTCAGAAAGCTAAATCAGAAGAAAATACCAAGGAAGAAAAACCTGATAGTAAGAAGGTGGAGGAAGACTTAAAGGCAGACGAACCATCAAGTGAGGAAAGTGATCTAGAAATTGATAAAGAAGGTGTGATTGAACCAGACACTGATTCTCCTCAAGAAATGGGAGATGAAAATGCAGAGATAACAGAGGAGATGATGGATCAGGCAAATGATAAAAAAGTGGCTGCTATTGAAGCTCTTAATGATGGTGAACTCCAGAAAGCCATTGACTTATTCACAGATGCCATCAAGCTGAATCCTCGCTTGGCCATTTTGTATGCCAAGAGGGCCAGTGTCTTCGTCAAATTACAGAAGCCAAATGCTGCTATCCGAGACTGTGACAGAGCCATTGAGATAAATCCTGATTCAGCTCAGCCTTACAAGTGGCGAGGGAAAGCACACAGACTTCTAGGCCACTGGGAAGAAGCAGCCCATGATCTTGCCCTTGCCTGTAAATTGGATTATGATGAAGATGCTAGTGCAATGCTGAAAGAAGTTCAACCTAGGGCACAGAAAATTGCGGAACATCGGAGAAAGTATGAGCGAAAACGTGAAGAGCGAGAGATCAAAGAAAGAATAGAACGAGTTAAAAAGGCTCGAGAAGAGCATGAGAGAGCCCAGAGGGAGGAAGAAGCCAGACGACAGTCAGGAGCTCAGTATGGCTCTTTTCCAGGTGGCTTTCCTGGGGGAGTGCCTGGTAGTTTTCCCGGAGGAATGCCTGGAATGGGAGGGGCCATGCCTGGAATGGCTGGAATGCCTGGACTCAATGAAATTCTTAGTGATCCAGAGGTTCTTGCAGCCATGCAGGATCCAGAAGTTATGGTGGCCTTCCAGGATGTGGCTCAGAACCCAGCAAATATGTCAAAATACCAGAGCAACCCAAAGGTTATGAATCTCATCAGTAAATTGTTAGCCAAATTTGGAGGTCAAGCGTAATGCCCTTCTGATAAATAAAGCCCTTGCTGAAGGAAAAGCAACCTAGATCACCTTATGGATGTCGCAATAATACAAACCAGTGTACCTCTGATCTCATCAAGAGAGCTGGGGTGCTTTGAAGATAATCCCTACCCCTTTCCCCCAAATTCAGCTGAAGCATTTTACAGTGGTTTGCCATTAGGGTATTCATTCAGATAATGTTTTCCTACTAGGAATTACAAACTTTAAACACTTTTTAAATATTCAGAATATTTAAAACAAATTTAAAGGGTCTGTTAATTCTTATATTTTTCTTTACTAATCATTTTGGATTTTTTTTCTTTGAATTGGGCAGGGAAGATATGTATGGAAGATTATTGCTCTAATTTGAGTGAAATAAAAGTTACTAGTGCGAGGCAAACATAAAAAAAAAAAAAAAAAGTTGCCATCCATTTGCTTTTTAACACATTGTTTGACACACTTGTGAGACATCCAAATAGAAATATCTGGAGGCCAGAAAAAAAGGTCTTTGTTAGATATATAACTATGAAACTCTATGGCACAAAAATAACGTTTGAAACCATGGTAGTGAATGAAATTACCTAGTGTGAGTATTAAGAATGAGGAGAAAAAGAAGCCCCAACATTAGAGGTTGAATGGAAAGGAACTAGTTTGCCACAGAAAATACATAGCAGTCAGAAAGCTGGGAGAAGAGAATTATATATGTATATATACACACATATAGGTGTGTATATGTATGTAAATATGTATATGCATATATGTATATTCACTGAAGATAAGAAAGAAGATGATTTCAAGCAGAGAATGGTAAATTGTGTCAAATGCTACTATAAAATCAAGTACGATGAAGAATGGAAGGTATTCATAAAATTTAGCAACACTATGATACCTTTAATAAGAGCCATTTCAGTGGTGAAATGAAAACTAGATTGAATTAGGGTGATGAATATCCAGTAAATGAAAAAAAAAAAGCCTCATGTTTAAAGAACTCTTTTGAAGAACATGAAACTGAAGAAGATTTAAGAGAGAGAGTGATGGCTAGAAGGGGATGTGGGTGGAGTTGCCAGATTTAGTGAATAAAAATACGAGATACATAGTTAAATTTGAATTTCAGGTTAACAAATAACTTTTTGGTCTTTAAGAATATCCTATGCAATATTGAAGACATACCTCCTTATACTAAAAAATACATACACCTTCTTATACTAAAAAATAATTCCTCATTCTGAAATGAAAATTTAAGTGGGAACCCTGTATTTAAAACCTAAGGTGTGGGTTCAAGATACTTTTTTATTATTTTATTTATTTGGGGGGGCGGTTTAGAGATGGGATCTTGCCCTCTCATCCAGGCTGGAGTGCAGTAGCAAGATCATAGCTCACTGCAGCCTTAAATTCCTGGGCTCAAAGGATCTCCTGTCTCAGTCTCCAGAGTAGGGCCATAGGCACACACCACAGCGTGGCTAATATTTTTTTCATTGTTTTAGAGATGTGGGTCTCACTAGGTTGCCCAAGCTGGTCTTGAACTCCTTGCCTCAAATGATCCTCCCACCTCAGTCTCTCCAGTAGATGGGAATATAGCAAAAGCCACCACACCTAATACTTTATTTCTGAGAGACATTTGAGTGTATTTTTCTGATAAGAATACCTGGTGTAAATGGAGAAGTTAAAAATGCAAGAGAAAGAAGAGAGAATTGATGGAACTAAAGACTTAAGGAAAGGAATGGAGGACTCGGTCAATGACAACCCAGAGAGGGTGACTTCTTATTGGAAAGTGGATACTTCTTTCCTGCACTGAAACAGAAGAGAGAAAGGAGAAGATAGGCACAGGTGCACACAGATGCATAGTTCTGATATTGGGAAGATCCTGGAGCCTTCCTTTGGAACTCTCCATTTTTTTATGAGGTATGCAGTGAGCCAACTGTGAGAGCAAAGGGAATAGGATGAGAATGGGGAGTTGGAAGAGCAAGGATTACAAACTTATTATGAAGGTATGAAAAGATGATTTAGAAGACAAATGTTAAGATCGCTGGTGGTGGCCGGGCACAGTGGCTCACGCCTGTAATCCCAGCAGTTTGGGAGGCCGAGGTGGGCAGATCACCTGAGGTCAGGAGTTCGAGATCAGCCTGGGCAACATGGTGAAACCTGTCTCTACTAAAAATACAAAGATTAGCTGGGAGTGGTGGCGTGCACCTGTAATCCCTGCTACTCGGGAGGATAAGAGAGAAGAATCACTTGAACCCTGGAGGCAGAGGTTGCAGTGAGCCAAGATTGCACCACTGCACTCCAGCCTGGAGACCGGGCAACCAGAGCAAAACTCCATCTCAAAAAAAAAAAAAATCGTTGGTGGTGTTGAAGGCCCCAATCGTGTTGGTGATCATGAAGAGTGATCCCAAACTACCTAAAGCATGAATTTGCCCACTGATATTCAGCTCAATGCAGGCATAAACATGTCTCATAGATTTTTAAATAGCCTAAAGAGCACAAGACACAGGATGAAAGGCACAAACTCTACTCTTAAAGTAATTTGGGGTAAAGGTTTATTTTCCTCCAAATATGCAAAAGATAAGAAAGGCTTTCTTCTAAAATTATGAAATTAATATATCTACACTATTAGTAGAGTTGCAAATGAAGAACCCACTTTATAAATAAGCAGGTTCTGGGCAAAAGTCAGTGTTGTTATATCCATGAAATTATTTAAACTCAATATTTTACTATTTTAAATAACCCCACTTATAGACTGATTAATTCAGTCACAAATACATATTGGGTTCCTACTATGTGCAAGCACTGCTAGATGCTGAATTAATAATACCAAGTCTGATGTTTAATTAATAAGAAGAACCTTATAGAAATATTTGACACTCAAATTAATATCAGATATATTCATTTGACTAATGCTATTACAATTACAGTTCATAGCTAATGGCATTATCGGGCTATTATCACAAAGCATTACCTCTCTTCTAAAACTCATTTCCATGATAATTCATTGAAATCATCATGAGAACACACTATCTTGATGGGTTTTTACCTCCCAATGCTCTTCAAGAGAATGAACTCACCCTTATAAGAAAGCTGGTTATGCCAAATATCACCCATGCCTGTTCTCTCTGCAGTTCAGGTGAACAATGCCTAGCAATTTCCCTACAATTTTGAAAGACACAGTGTTCCTTCCTGGAAACAGCAGCCTGACTTAATTTTTATCCACAATTCCCAAGATCTGGAAATGCAAATTAAAGTCGTGATGCAGGCATTATTATCTAGAGCAAAGTATTGAGCATGTTCAGATCTGAAGCCCAATCTCAGTCCATCCAGTCACTCAACAAATATTTATTCTGTTCCCTTTCCATGACTTTAGGCAAACGGTTCAGCTGCTCTGTGCCTTTGTTTCCTTGTTTATAAATTGAGGGTAATAAAAATTTGAGTCCTTATTAGATAAATATGAAAAACTGGTAGAAAAGTCAAAGTTAGAATACAGTGGTTAGGTATTATTTCCTTCAGGTATCATGAAAATTAATGTGTTTTAAAAATTAACTCAGGTAGGAGAGCTATGAATCTCAAATGAAGCATTTAAATCAGGTTACTGAAAGGAGGAAGGAAAGAAATTAACATTTATTAAGTGTCAGTTATATGCAGACCTTGCTATATGCATTTCATGAAGATATTATTTCATTAAATCTTCACAACATTTCTTTGGAGGTAGATATTTGTAGCCCCATCATATATAAGAGGAAAATGAGCTCAGAAAGTTGCATAAGTTGTCCAAATCACATAGTAATGGTGGATTCCTGATTCCAAAGCTCTTTTTACTACACTAGTTTTATTTCCTGTGGTACAGAGGCACATCCACCCTGGAGACAGACTGCAACATCTTTTTAATTGCACCCTTTTTCGCTCCCAAGCAAAAAGCACATAGTGAAGTAGAAGGCGTGCCTCAAATAAAGCAGATATAAAATCCATTTCAGTTTTGTCTCCACAATTTTGGACTTTTGCTAGAACACCAGCACTACAAAATAACTTTAAAAAATCTAATGAAGTCTGAGGGAAATAATTGCTCACTGTCTCTAACTATCTTTTGAAGAGATTCCAAAAGGCACATTTTAAGATTTTCATAGTTCCATTACATTCAAAATAAAACAGTAGTTTGTAAAGAGGGGAAATATTGCATCTTTCTCCAAAGAGAGATAACAGAAATCTGCCTTGAATCCAAAGCAATATGCTATAGCACTTAATGCCACATATACTTGAAGTATCCAGTAAAGCTCTGATTTTGGTGGGAGATGGACTGACATATTGCTGAAGTGAGGAAAGGTGTTTATATATGTATACATATATACATATATATGCACATATATATGTGTGTGTGTATATATGCACCTTTCCTTTCTTATGGTATATTTAGGTTATTTCTAATTTTTCATGCTATAAATATTACTAAGGTAAGCATCCTTTTCTATAATCATTAAGTACATAACTTATTCCCTCCTTAGACTAGAATCCTGGAAATGGGATTATTCCTTCAATGAGGATAAATATTTTAAATATTTTAAAGACTATTGAGAATTAAAGCAAAACTGACTTCTAAAAGACTGCAATTATGTGCCATTGTGAAATGATAACACTTGCCTCAAGATATGAATTTCAGTCCTTAGCATAATATTTTGATCTTTGTCTATTTGATTGGAAAAAGTTATATTCCACTTTAAATACTTTAATTTGTATTTTTTTAGAGTGTAAAATTGAAATACTTAATATTTACAGAACATTTTTATCTTTTTTATGATGTGCTTAATCTTGGCCTATTTTTCTTTGGGTCTTTTTTTGTCCATTTACATATGCTTATTATACTTTAAGAACATTATGATTTATGTCATATTTATTGCTAGTATTTTCCCAGTTTTAACTCAACATTTTATTTCATAGATAAATTTATTTTATACAAGTTTTGCTGCTATATGTAATCAAATCTGTCCACCTTTTTCATTACGATTAATTTCATTGCATATATGGTTGTAGAATTTTAATGGTTTCACATTTTGGATTAATTTTATTATTCATGTGGATTTCATTTTGGTTTCATTAAAGAAAATACTTATTTGCTTCAAATAACCAACATTCACAACAGTATTTAATATACGTTGTGAAAAGTTGGTTAAACTTTAAATATTTCCCAACGATACAGTAAGTGAAATGAAACTAATCAGTTTTACATATTTTAACATATTTTTAGGTGATCTTGGGACTGTTTCAGGGCTTTCTGGCCTGTTCCCTTTAGCTGCCTCTTTATTTTAGCTTAGTATCACTCTCCTTTTAATTATTATAATAATTTTATGATATATAGTGTATATCAGTTATTACTCATACTTATCTTTTTGGTTATTTTTTATGAAAACCATATTCTCCATGGCTTACACTTCTAGGTGAATTTCACATTTTTATTATTTTTTTCTCCAATTTTTTTTTTTTTTTTTTTGAGACAGTGTCTCGCTCTGTTGCCTAGGTTGGAGTGCTGCAACCTCTGCCTCCCAGGTTCAAGCAATTCTTGTGCCTCAACCGCCTAACTAGCTGGGATTACAGGCATCTGCCACCATGTCAGGCTAATTTTTGTATTTTTTAATAGAGACAGGGTTTCACCATGCCAGCCAGGCTAGTCTCAAACTCCTGACCTCAAGTGATCAGCCCACTTCGGCTTCCCAAAGTGCCGGGATTACAGGTGTGAGCCACTGCACCCGGCCCCCCAATCCTATTTTTATTTTAATAAAATGAGTAAAACTTGTAAGTTAATTTTAGAAAAACTAAAGGTTTTGCAATAGGTAGTGGTCCATCCAAGTATATAACATACTTTTTAAATTTAATATTTCAAAGTTGAGTTCAGGAAGTTTTTTTCTTCATATATATCCTGATCATTTCTTGTTGAAATTATCATAGACATTTTATACATTTTTCCTTTTTGCTATTTGAACTGAATCATTTTCCCTCATTACAACTCACTGAGGTGATCACTGTTATACAGGGAGATTATTACTGTTTATTGATGTGTATGTCTTCATCTGCATCCAATTTCATAAACTTAGTAAATTTATAAGAGTATTTCAGTTGATCCTTTTGCTTTTTCAGCAAAATTAATCTTCAAATACATATAATTTTTATCCTTATTTCCAATATTTACTCCTACGCTTTGAATCTTTCTCAGGACCCAGAACTTACAGGGCAATGGTAATACCAGACGACAGTCACATTATATCTTGCTCATGATCTTAATGAGGACATCTTTTATTTTATTAAGTATATTTGCAGGATTATAAAGGATATTCCTTAAAGAATATTCCTTATTATATAAAAACTTTATTCTTGTTTTCTAAGAGGTAAACAAATCAGTTTAAATTTTATCGAATGTTTAAGTAACTATTAAGATCACCTTATGATATTTCTTAATCATCAGAAACTGGACCTATCATTAGGGTGCATTTAATTAATAAATTTTTCAATATTAAATCATCTTTATATATGTGCAATAAATAATACTTGTTGGCAATTATGATTCTTTCACTATGTTCTGGAAAGATCCAGAGAAAAGATCTATTTTTTCTGTGAAAATTAAAAAATGCCTAGTGTCTCTCTTTTGTTCTTAAATTGCATGTTATGTTTAATTGACAAATAGTAATTGTATGTATCTATGGGTACAATGTAATGTTTCAATACCTGCATACATTGTGGAATGCTCAAATCAGTCTAATTAACATATCCATCACCTCAAATAATTACCATTTCTTAGTGGTGAGAACATTTAAAATCCACTCTTTTAGCAATTTTGATATATACAATACATTATTATTGACTATAGTCACCATGCTGTATAATAGATCACCAGAACTAATTCCTCCTGTCTAACTCAAACTTTGCACCTGTTGGCCAACATTTCCCCTTCCCCCATCCACTTCTCTTTCCCACCTCAGCCTTTGGTAACCACCATTCTACTCTCTGCTTCTGTGAGTTTGACTTTCCTACATTCCACATATAAGTGAGATGATATGGTATTTGTCTTTCTGTGTCTTGCTTATTTCACTTAGCATATTGTACTGTAGATTCATCCATATTGTCACAAATGACAGAATTTGTTCTTTTTTAAGGCTGAATATTCCATTGTGTATATATGCCACTTTTTAAAATGTATTAATCCATTGATAGGCACTTCAATTGTGTTCATATCTTAGCCATTGTGAACAGTACTGTAACAAACTGAGTACAAACATTTCTTCGATATACTGATTTCAACTCCTTTGGATATATATCCAGTAGTAGCATTGCTGGATCATGTGGTAATGCTATTTTTAGTTTATCAAGATTCCACCATACTGCTTTCCATAATAGCTGTACTAATTTGCATGCTCACCAATAGTGTACTAAAGTTTCGTTTTCTCCACATCCTCATCAACACTTATCTTTCATCTTCATCCTTTTTATAAAATTCTAACTGGTGTGAGGTGATATCTCATGGTGGTTTTAATTTGCATTTCCCTGATGATCAGTGATATTGAACAGTTTTTTATATACCTGTTGGCCATTTGTATGTCTTCTTCTAGGAAATGTCTACTCAGGTCATTTGCCCAATTTTCAATTAGCTATTTGGGCTTTTTTCTTATTGAGTAGCTTGAATTCTTTACATGTTTTGGATATTAGGCCCTTACCTGATATATAATTTGCAAATATTTTTCCCAATCTGTGGGTTATCTCTTTCACTCTGTTATTTCCTTTGCTGTGCAGAAACATTTTAGTCTGACACATTCTCATTTGTCTATTTTTCCTTTTATTGTCAATGCTTCTGTTGTCAAATTCAAGAACCCATTACCTAGACCAATGTCATGAAGCTTTTCCCCTGTTCTAGTAGTTTTACAGTTTCATGTCTTACACTGAGGCCCTTAATCTATTTTGAGTTTATTTTTTGTATCTGCTATAAGTGTCCAATTCCATTCTTCTGCATGTTAGATATACAGTTTTCCCAGCACCACTTATTGAAGAGACTGTACTTTCTCCTTTGTTTGGGTATTAGTCTGTTTTCATACTGCTATAAACAGCTGCCCAAGACTGGGTAATTTATAAAGGAAAGAGGTTTAATTGACTTACAGTTCAGCATGGCTGGGGAGACCTCAGGAAGCTTACAATCATGGTGGAAGGTGAAGGGAAGCAAAGCACCTTCTTCAAAGGCGGCAGGAAAGAGAATACTGAGTGAAGGGGGAAGAGCCCCTTATAAAACCATCAGATCTCCTGAGAATTCACTCACTCTCATGAGAACAGCATGG